GTGGGGCAAAAGTAGGTTTACAGTTGTGAGTACACACAAGAGTTTATTTTTGTATTATTAATTATTATTATATTATTTTCCATACAAACAACTGTACACCTTTGCCCCACCGTGTATAATAAAATAAAAAGTTTCAAACCAAAGCTAAACATGTTTATAAAATGTTTGCTGAAATAAAAAGCTGAAGACTGAATATAGATGCCAATATTGTTTGATATAAACAGAGGATAAGTGTGATATCTGAATCTATAGTATATTCTATTGATCTGTAGGTACAAAATTAGTGATATTAATTTGCCAGATAAATCTTTTAACTTTACCCTAAATGTCACCTTCACTGTGATCTAATATGTAATGAGATACAGTCACCAATGCAAAACAATAATATGATTCTTCTCATGGATAATACTTAGTTTTTAGAAAATTTATTTAATTAAATTAGGTCTCACAAGGTGTTCAACTTTCCCATCTGAAGTAAAAAAGCAGAATTCAGGGAAAATAAAGATAAGACATTTCAGAACATAGAGGGTCAACTGCCCTAGAGGACACAGTGCTGGTTTCTAGCCTAGAAGTGCTCTCCCTCCATGCCTGCCTGAGAGCCCCCGCCAAACTCCCACACGATCGCTTATTTATTCTAATTCCCTTTTCCCCATTAAATGTCCCTCATGTAAAAAGGAATAGAAGTCCACTGAAGGAAAATCAGAGAAAACAAATAAAAGAAGAAGAGATCTATTTTATCAGCAAAAATGACTATTAGTCTATTGTGACTATGTTCATACACACAAATTTTTAATATTTTATACAGATAAAATAATATTCAAACATTTATATGATGTGTAAATAAAATAAACTTCCCCACAGCCAAAGAAATGAAAATGCCTAAAGATGCTGAAAATGGAAACATTCTGTGATTATAAACCGCATTGCCTTAGGTATTCGTATAGTTATTAAAGGTGTCTACCTATCATTAATTATTGCTTGAGGATCGATTTTTTTCCCATGGAATTGCTGTGTCAAAGTGTATGCATGAGTATATGTATTTTTAACACTTTTGTTAGACATGGTGCTTCATCTTTTTGACAAGGCATTTCCTGTGTCTGTGAGTGGAGAACAATGTTTTGAAACTACAAGGGTAGGAGCTTCCCTGGGAACCATCTTCCCAACATGTGCTCTGAAAAGGGCTGTGTCGCTGTGCTCGCTGTGCTCCCTGGGGCCTCTGGGGAAAGCCAGGCCCGGCAGGGAGGACGCCTCCGACCCGTGGCTGCTGCCTGGCGCCCACTCACCTTGAAGCCGTCAAAGGCGAAGGCGTGTTCGTCGCAGCCCAGCTCCTGATCAGGCTGGCAGCCTGGCCTGCTCCAGCCAACGCGCATGTCCCCAGCAGTGACAGCCTCGAACTCAAAGTACCACCTTCCCGCCTTCACGGCGTAGGTTTTCTCAGCCCGGAAGATCCGGAACCGTTCCCCGGGGCTGCTGCACACTTCCGCTCGGGCAGCTGGGAAAGTAAGGAGAGTCTGTGATCACAGGGAACACTGAAAGGGGGGCAGATAGCACATAACTTTATAACCACACCCACAGTGATGTGCTAATGATACTCCATTCCCATCTGGTGCACATGTACTACGTGTGTTCATCAGGACGGGCAGCCCACGAGCCAGCGAGGCCCAGAGAGCACTGGCTTCTGCACGAGGCTGGGGCGAGCTGGTGATGCGGTGATGGTGGGGGCGGTGCCTTTGCAGGAGAGAATGTCTTTCTGGGCAAAGACCTACCAGCAGTTGGTGGTTTGGTAGCAGAAGATGAGAAACAAGAGGCATGGATAGAAAGAGCACAAGAGACTGAAACCAGTGACCATAAGAAATGAATAGACATTGGGTGGTGAGAGAGAAGAGGGAAGAAGCAGCCAGGCAATGAGGAGGAGACAGAAAGCTATAAAAAGCAGGACAGGGTCACCATCCACACACTCCCTGGCAGCATGGGTGAGGGCAAAACTCCCTCTCCCCCACATCTTCACCTTAATGTGCTGCACACACACATTGTGTTTAAGAAAGTAAAAGGGTCAAGTCTGACATCAGAATCAGTACAGTATAAAGGGGAAACATTGTTCTCCACCCCACACGTGCATTGAGAGTGGACACAGTAGATGGAGAGTGGACACATGTGGACTGAGAGAGGACACACGTGGACTGAGAGTAGGTGCACATGGACTGAGAGTGCATACACGTGGACTGATTGGGCACATGTGGACTTAGTGTGTGCATGTGGATTGACAGTGATACACACGGACTGAGAGTGGACACACGTGGACTAAGAGTGGATGCATGTGGATTGAGAGAGCCAGGAGTGAGAAACCTCAGCCATAGAACCTGAAGCCAGGTGACCATGAGAATGTACACCAAAAGGTCAAGGATTAAAAAAAAAGTCCATATACTCAACACATACTTATTGATTGCCTATTCTAATGTGTTTTCCTTAAAGCAAAATATTGCTCTAATTAATACTGCCTACATGAATGAGTACAAATAATGAAGGCTTAAAAACACTAGATCCCACTACAATTTATTCCCATAAACATCTAAACCCAGCCCTTCAAAGGACCGCTGGTGGGCAGGATGGGGGTAATGTCCGAACCAGGTAGCCTCCTTAGAATCCTCAGGAAGTAAACCACTGTGGTCTGGGCCACGCTCCCACGAGACGGTCTAGTCCTTCGGGAAAAGGTGCTCTAAACCAGCAGTCACCAGCCAGCGACCACTGGTGGTCCGTGAGGTCCGAAAGGTTGGCGACCGCTGCTCTAAACTGCACACTGCGTACGAGATCACGCACTACAGGACTCTGTCTGTGCTCCCTTTTTCACTTATTTGGCTGTACACCCTGCCCGTGACGTTGCAAGCAGAGGGGGCAGAGGGAGCCCGCAGTACCGTGGTCTTGGTCGGGCGCCTCCAGGCTGTACCCGTACCCCAGCAGCGTGCGCACCGCCTCCCGGAGGCTGTCCTTGTTGGACTTCTTGGTTCTGTCATCGAGAAGGGTGTAGGGCACAAGGCGTGGGTTTCTTCTGTTCTTGACATCCTACAGGAAGAAAAAGGTGCGGTCATCAAAGTAATGCCAACAGCTTGAGGAAATGAGACAGGAAATACAACAACATTGAAAGAGAACAAAACGCCAAGGCCCTGAGGGTAAACGCTGCCCCTCCCATCCCCTGGGTCTCCTCGGGCTCCAGAAGTTACCGGAACAGGACCAATACAAAGAGTTCATCACATGAAGGTCTGCATCAATATAAAGCGAGACTCTCTGCGAGAAGAAAAAGTAAAAATAGCCACAGCAATAACAAAAGCCACCTGAAGGACCTCTTTCAGCGTCTACCTTCTGCCATGGTCACAGGCAATGGGCTAACGTAGAGAACATGCAATTTCCCTGCACAGTAGGCTGACAAGTCTTGATGTTGAGAAGAGCCACATTAGCAGGTCAGGGATTCTGAGTCAAGAGACCACGTAAGGCTGCTGTCCCTTCTTAAGCGAAAACCCCGTATGTCACAAAAGGCCATTCTGGGACCTCACGTAACTTTAAAAATAGGCGGTCAATTCCCAAGTACCTGCTGGATGCCGTAGGTCCAGCCCTGCCGGATCCGGTCCCGGGCCCACACGTTGTGAGCGTTTTCTGCCAGTCTGTCCACCATTGCTTCCTGAGATGGGGTGAGTTTGATAAAGCTCAGGTCCATCGGTGCCGGCTTGTAGCCACTTGTCAGCTGGTAACTATAGAGAGAAGCAAAACACGCATATAATGGGCCTTCCCAGGAAAGTCAAGGTTTAAACATCCCTGTAACAGTCTTTGTGTGGCCCCACCCACTTCCAAAGGGTCCATGACCACAGTGGTGACCACGGGTAACACAGCTTCAGCAAGCCCGGGTCCCTCCGCTAAAGCCCATAACTCATTAGGAGGAAGGATCACACCACCCTTATGGTTTTGTTTTTCACCAATAAACCAAATGCAACAGCTCACCTATCTCTCAAAATGGAGAACAAATTATCATTGTTTGTGTTCCTAAGAGTCCAGGCTTAATACAAATCAAAGTACTGGTTATCAATGAGAACATTCAATGGGGTTCCCAACCAAAATTCTCATTTTCAACTTAAAAATGTTTTACTAATGTCATCTTTACTCAATAAAGCTGTGTATGTATCCTTATAGACACTGGGAAAATTCTAATGCATCTACAGAGTATTCCTGCGTACATAATTCAGGAAGCCCTAGCTAAGAGGAAGACTAGGAAACCCACAGCCACCCAAGACATGAAGGCCGGGGTTCCTCAGGGACTCTTACCAGAGACTATTTCTGCACTCTGAGCTGGAGAGGAAAGGTATTAAGTGAGTATAAAGTTTTAATCTTTTGGAAGAAATATAAAATTGAAAATGTAAAATTTTCAACACATGATATGTGGGTGCTAGCACTGCCCGCCCCGCACAGACACACAACTGTCTCCTTGTCTAACCGCCAAGGCTGGTCCCCAGCTGCTCCTCTCACTTTCGACCGCATGCCCTACAACCACTGTGCCTGAGGGTGGGCACCACCCACTTTTCTAACCGCCTCTGTGCTTACAGCAGCACAGGGCACACAGCAGCCTTTCCTTTCAAGCCACAGTTTTTGAAAGAACTAACTTTATTTACTAAGTTAAGATAAACATACACACCTGTCCATCTCAAAGATTATCCTTTTGCACAAAAGAAAATTCACCAGATAATATGCTAAGGTAAAAGAATAAATGATCAGAACTTGAGAAAATGCTCTTTAAATAAAACGGTCAGTCGCCTTTCCTCTCCTAACTGCTCTGGGCTCTGGGTGGCACCGGCGCCAGGTAAGCTCCCGACAGCAGGAGTCTGACTGCCGCAGAACCTAGAGCAGCGCCTGCTAGACCAGCGCCTGACACCCGGCAGGCTTTCGCTAGAAGCAGGTTGGATGAATCGATGCATGTTTAACACAACGGCCTACTGAATACTGTTAGACGTTCAGCTTACTTCTTGGGGAGCTTCATCTTTTTCACCTTTTCCTCAGCATGTTCATCTGATATTCCCACGTGGCATCCTAATGCCAACAAGGTCCTGGAAAACAAAAGCAGAGCTAAGCACAGTCCTCCCCTGAGCCCGAGGGCTCAGCTCCTCCACAGATGGAAATGAGGGGTAACAGTCCCCCCGAACACAGAGCACACATGTTTTTAAAGACACTCATTTATTAATACGCTGTTCACTTCTGAGTAACGAGTAAGAGAGTGGAAACTGAAATGGCGCCAAAGGCAGACACCGAACAGTCCCGCTAAGTCCCTGCCTCTAGCCCAGCGGTTCTCAACCTGTGGGTTGCGACCCCTTTGGCGGTCGAACGACCCTTTCACAGGGGTCGCCTAAGACCATCCTGCATATCAGATATTTACATGACGATTCATAACAGTAGCAACATGACAGTGATGAAGTAGCAACGAAAATAATGTTATGGTTGGGTCACAACATGAGGAGCTGTATTTAAAGGGCCAGAAGGTTGAGAACCACTGCTCTAGCCCTTTTCCCCCTAAAAGCACCAACAGCTCCCAATTCTTCTGTCCTGCTAGAGCGTGTGCTGCACTAAGGCAGACATGCATGTGCATGTGCATGTGTGTGCACGCTGTATACACAGCAGACAGTTCTCTGCAATCTGCTATCTTGACTTTACAATTTCACTTTGAAATCCTGTCCTTTCTTTAAAGCTGGTTTATTTTTCAACAGCTTTGAAGGGTTCCATTAGCTGGACATGTCATGATGGCTTTACCCAATGCTCTGCTCACAGCCTTTGGTTATTACAAACAGTGCTGCCAGGAACAGCCTCACGCATGCAACACATGCACTGTGTCCTTCGTCTATAGGAACGACCCCTAGATGCGGAGTTACTGGATCAGAGGGCACATACACTTTCAAGTTTAACCAGGTTGGCCAATGTCAATAGAAATGGTAACGATTTCCATTCCCACCAGCATTGCCTTTTCCCCAAGGTTATCAACCTGCTTGACCTTTGTCAATCAATAGGTTTAGTTCCAGCCGGAATGAAAGGACTTAACACTCAACCCTTCCAGGGAGGATGCGTGGGAGGGGAAGCCAAGAACTCACTTCAGGGTCTCGAGCGACATCTGCAGGTTGTAGTTGCGCTCCTGCTCCGGCAGCTTGGAGAACTCCACCAGACACGGGTGCTGCCTCTTGTTGTCATCTCTGACCTGAAACAGGACAGGAGGTGCATGGGTCAGTCCCCCAGTCAGACACCGGCAGCGGCCCTCCAATCAGCAGTGGGGCGTGAGGGGGAAGCAGACGGGAGGCCCAAATCCTTACTGAGTGTAGTGGCGACTCCGCTTTAATGTGGAATCATTTTTCCGTGTTTAGAGCCACACTGGTCAGAGACCCCATGAACCTGACATAAACTCTTCCGGGGGTCCCAGCCCTACATCTCACCCACACACGCTCCTTCCCACTGTCACGAATCACCCCACCACCTTAGCAAGATCGATTAGCATTATACAGGGTTTTTTATATATTAATCCTTGACAGCGTAGGCTAGAAATCAGACTACACTAAATCAAAGACTTTAGGGATGGATCAATGAGAAGGCTGGCCTGGATCACTGCACTGGTAATTAAATATTAGTCTTCCTGGGGACCTACGTTACACAGGCCTTTGCTCCCGTGGGGACCTCGGTGACAGGTGTGTGCTGTCGGGGAACAGACTGCTCCGTGGGAACATCCAAGCTCTGCAGATGCCACACGAAAGCCCTTCCACCCACACTGGGCTCTCTCAGAACCTTTGAAAGCAACGCCTACTGTCCGCCTGTGTTCACCTTGATTGGAAATGTAACCTGCAGCTTAAAGATGGGTAACTCGTCCACGGTCAAGGCAACTGAGCCATGCTTCAGTCAGCCCGCCCATCACGGTGCTCCCTCCCCAAACTGATGTGTAGGAAAAACATCAGTCCATTCATTCACATCACCACACAGCAAGATGAGCGAGAAAACGTTGCGTTCAGAAAGTTGCATTAACGGAATCTGTAGATAAATGGAAAACTCCATACCGGGCCATACTGCCAGCCAAGTTCAATTTTATTCATAACCCAGAGCTCGTGGATGTTCTCTGCCAGCTTTTCTCTTATCCTCTCCAGGTGGGGGGGCAACACGATCTAAAATTGAAAAAAGAAAAGAAAGCACACATTAGGAAAAATACAATACGACACAGCGCTAATTGTTCTCCCTGCAACTGGACTAAATAGAACTGCCTCATAAACCATTAAAATAAAATAACTAGGTTCTAAGCCATCTATTATAAACTCATTGTAAAAATATAACTAGTTGCCGAACCGGTTTGGCTCAGTGGATAGAGCGTCGGTCTGTGGACTCGGAGGTCCCAGATTCGATTCCGGTCAGGGGCATGTACCTTGGTTGTGGGCACATCCCCACTGGGGGTGTGCAGGAGGCAGCTGATTGATCTCTCTCATCAATGTTTCTGGCTCTCTATCACTCTCCCTTCTTCTCTGTAAAAAATCAATAAAAATATATTTTAAAAATATATATATATATATATAACTAGTTATCTAAACACTCTTTAGGGAAATTTTGGGACCTTTTTTGGGAGGGTGGCAACTGAGGTTTCTAGTTTATGAACCAAAGTTAGGAAGAAAGAAGATAGAGTTTGGTCGGGACAATTGCCACAAGGAAAGACGCCTTGCTGGATGGACGTGGGCAGATAACGTGGACAGAGCCTGCGTTATTTAGGACAATCACACAAAGTCCTCACCCCGACGTGGCCTCATCCACAGACTGGGTGATGGCCACTCTGCCCAGACGGTGCACTGGCTCCGTGAGCCAGTAGATATCTGACTGCAGTGATCTATTTCCTCTTACCTCTGTATTGTCAGTGATTTCCAAATAGAATCTTTATAAAGAGTAAGTTTAATAACTTTTCTATAAAAAATACAAAATGATTTTCAAGGTGAGGTGTTTTGTCACCCACAACTAATCCCTCAACAAGCAGAGCAGCGCCTGGTCGTGCCCAGATGAGGCAGGGTCTGCAGGGAGCAGCTCTCACCGCCTCCTCTCCCCAGAGCAGTGGGGGTTACCCAGGTTCTCAAGGTCCCAGAGTAGCATCAGATCCCAGGAATTTCGACTGTAGAGCCCATGACCTCAATCTCTACCCAAGATAAATGTCAATTAAGTCGTTTCAAAATAGTAAGTGTATCTAGATGGGAGAAGAAACAAAAACTCCACGTCTACCCTACGTAGGAAGTGCTCTCTAAAGTTAGTATGGGCTACCTAAGGCTGTGACCTTCACTGTGTTATAAAAGCAACGTAATGGCT